TGTGGGATTTCAGGGTTAGCATGACATGTTGGTCGTGTTGCTGTTAGCATAAACAAACAAGTTGCACAATGCTTGCACACTGTTGCACTTTTATCCACAACTTTATTTCCGCCGTCATCCTAGGTCACTCTAAATGCAAAGCGGTCCCATACAGCAGACCTATAAAGTGCTGCTGGCGCGTCTTCCAACTCCTGTTCTTTCCTACTTGCCATACCCACACAATTCTCCACAACAACAGATTTTTTTCTGCTACATCCGGCTATGCTGCTTCCCTCCTTCTTCTTCTTGTTTACTACTGGTGGTTGGCTTTTGTCGCAGTACCGCCACCTTCTGCTCTGGAGTGTACAAGCTTCGCCAAGAGAAAAAGGAGCAGCGCATGAACCAAACGCAACACACGCGAACCGAACAGTTCTGACAGTTTTCATAAACAGTTCCATCCCTAATATATACAGGTGCTGGTCATAAAATTAGAATATCATGAAAAAGTAGATTGATTTCAGTAATTCCATTTAAAAAGTGAAACTTGTATATTATATTCATACATTACATACAAACTCATATATTTCAGATGTTTATTTTGTTTAATTTTGATGATTACAAATGACAACAAATAAAAATCTCAAATTCATCATATCAGAAAATTAGAATATTGTGAAAAGGTTCAAAATTGATGGCCCCTGGTGCCACACTCTAATCAGCTAATTAACTCAAACCACCTGCAAAAGCCTTTAAATGGTCTTTCAGTCTAGTTCTATAGGCTACACAATCATGGGGAAGACTGCTGACTTGACAGTTGTCCAAAAGACGACCATCGACACCTTGCACAAGGAGGGCAAGACACAAAAGGTCATCGCTAAAGAGGCTGGCTGTTCACAGAGCTCAGTGTCCAAGCACATTAATAGAGAGGCGAAGGGAAGGAAAAGATGTGGTCGAAAAAAGTGTACAAGCAAGCAGTGGCGGCTGGTGAAAAATATTTTTGGTGGGGCTGATATAGCCTAGTGTATGTCTCCAACTAACCCGGAATAAGAATTCAAATAAACAATTGGACAATACATACAATTTAACAGTAATGATTTAATTTACTATATAATAACAGTAACAGTGATGATTTGGGTCACTGTGACGGGGTTCTTTGGCCTCCAAGAATCCAGTCTCAGTCGGGTTACCGGTGTTGGTGATTTATTGAGCTCAAAAACTCAAAACAGGGTGCAAAAGAAACTAAACATATACAAGATACTCTGGGCCTCAGCCTCCCTCCAGTTACCAGCAATGTAACAAAGAAACAGAAAACAAAAATTGCCGCTTTTCTTCCCACAGCCCTCATTAAATAGTTTAAGCCCCTCACCTCAGGCTCTCTTATTTCTGATTTCTTCTCATTAATCAGTTTTGTCCATATATTACCTCCACAAACAATTGATGTACAAAAACAAATAATTTTTACAACTTAATTCTTTTACACAGATTCATTGACTTATTCAATTACACCAAACTGGGTTTGAACCCAGCAAAGACGCAGCCAGACTGAAGATGACAAGTCCCCGCATAAACACGTACACACCCACACCCCCCACATACCCACACACACACACACACACACACACACACACACACACACACACGGCTAACCCCACTGAAATATTAAGTGTGCACCCTCAATACGCCAGCAGGTAACCAGGACAGCTTGTGTGTTTTAAGTTAATAGAGCTACTGATCTCAGCGCGAGTGTATTGGTCCTCACAAACACAGTATAACAGGAATGTGTGTGTGGCGCGCAAAGTTAGAGAGGTTGTTTTAAGCGACGAGGTGGATTCGTCACAGTCACAATAACCATGAAATGAAATGTTCATATCATACAACAGGGATGTTCTTCTGGCAAACGGGTAGATAAATAAGGATCTCACCGAATTTGGTGGAAGCTGCATCTCGCTCGTTACATTCGCCATCTTCCCTCTAATTGTCTGCACCTGCGCTTGGGTTCAGAAGAGAAGCCTGTAAAAGCGCAGTATTTTCAGCGCCCCAATACCATAAAGTTCCGAGACGCTGATTGGCCATTAAATTCACCTAGCAATAGTACATGATTGACAGATTCTCTGCAAATGTGGGTCAGTCTGATCACAGCCCCCAGAACAGAGACGGTAGGAGTCTGTCTGTGGAAATCCAAAAATTAATGACAGTAGATAGGGAAATGTAGTTTATATAATTTGTTTTGCTTATAGTTACACAGTCTAGAGAGTAAAACAGACATTTATGAGTTAATTTCTAAAAATATATTTTACGTTTCTCTCTTCTTATCAGGGAGGGCGGTGCCCCAGCGCCCCCTATGGGCCGGCCGCCACTGCAAGCAAGAGAGATAACCGCACCCTGGAGAGGATTGTGAAACAAAACCCCTTCAAAAATGTGGGGGAGATTCACAAAGAGTGGACTGCAGCTGGAGTGAGTGCTTCAAGAACCACCACACACAGACGTATGAAAGACATGGGTTCCTGCTGTCGCATTCCTTGTGTCAAGCCACTCTTGAACCACAGACAGCGTCAGAAGCGTCTAAAGAGAAACAGGACTGGACTGCTGGTGAGTGGTCCAAAGTCATGTTCTCTGATGAAAGTAAATTTTGCATTTCCTTTGGAAATCAAGGTCCCAGAGTCTGGAGGAAAAGAAGAGAGGCACTTCATCCACGTTGCTTGAAGTCCAGTGTAAAGTTTCCACAGTCAGTGATGGTTTGGGGTGCCATGTCATCTGCTGGTGTTGGTCCATTGTGTTTTCTGAGGTCCAGGGTCAACGCAGCCACATACCAGGAAGTTTTAGAGCACTTCATGCTTCCTGCAGCTGACCAACTTTTTGGAGATGCAGATTTCATTTTCCAACAGGACTTGGCACCTGCACACAGTGCCAAAGCTACCAGTACCTGGTTGAAGGACCATGGTATCCCTGTTCTTAATTGGCCAGCAAACTCTCCTGACCTTAACCCCATAGAAAATCTATGGGGTATTGTGAAGAAGAAGATTCAATACACCAGACCCAACAATTCAGAAGAGCTAAAAGCCACTATTAGAGCAACCTGGGCTATCATAACACCTGAGCAGTGCCACAGACTGATCGACTCCATGCCACGCCGCATTGCTGCAGTAATACAGGCCAAAGGAGGCCCAACTAAATACTGAGTGCTGTACATGCTCATACTTTTCATGTTCATACTTTTCAGTTGGCCAACATTTCTATAAATCCTTTGTTTTTATTGGTCTTCAGTAATATTCTAATTTTCTGATATGATGAATTTGAGATTTTCATTTGTTGTCATTTGTAATCATCAAAATTAAACAAAATAAACATCTGAAATATATGAGTTTGTATGTAATGTATGAATATAATATACAAGTTTCACTTTTTAAATGGAATTACTGAAATCAATCTACTTTTTCATGATATTCTAATTTTATGACCAGCACCTGTATATACTTTTTTTCTGAGTGGCCCGGTACCAAATGACCGACGGACCGGTACCGGTCCGCGGCCCGGTGGTTGGGGACCGCTGATCTAGAGGAATACTAAAACATTGAGAATCAATTATCAAACAGCCTTCTAATTTAGCACATCATTTTTTTAAACAAATTTTTTAGTTTTTTTCCTACCTCATAGATTTGCAAATTTTCTGCACAATGTTTACATTTTAATATTTCCAATATTTGTCAGTGTCTTTTTCCAGCTGTTTTCTAATGTTAATATACAATTAACTCTAAGGCTGGATTGTGAACCACTTTGTAATATATCAATAAGAGTATCTATTTACTTTTTATAAAATATTATAATTGGATGTTTAAATTCTTTATTTCTGTATTTGTGAATGCTCAGTAGGATGTTTATTACACCAGTGGCAACATAGTTTGATAAATGAGGAGATCCATAGCAAAATCATTGGTTGGGGGAAAAAAAAAAAAACTGGTCTGTCCTTCCTCCCACATTTGGTGTTGCTGTCCACAGCTGCAGAAGCTGTCACATGACCTCAGGGAGGTTAGTTAGCCCACAGAATAGTCTGAAACCCTGATCAATATTTTTAGTCTGTGTGCTTAATTGTTTACCAGTCACCATTGGCTCCAGACTATATATAAGTGATGTTCCCCTGAGTGATCAACTCCCATTCCATTGACACCAATGCCCTCCTAGTGTAGGTCTTCCAGCCTATTCCTGTCAATTTTCTCCATTCCCTAATCTCACGTATGATCGTCATGTTTACACTGGTGAAATCCAGACCTGATCAGTATTTTGCAGTTTGATATCCACAGAATGAGACCATCAAGAAAACAACAAAAGTACTGGTCTTGAACCAGGCCCGTGACTCAGTGGCCACTAAGGTAAATATCAATGATCAATAATAAAGAGGAAGATTAGCAATTCAACTCAGCCTGCAATATCAGGGAGCATCTGGAAATGAGCAAGTCTTGTTTTAAGTTTTCAGAATGGCTTACTGTTTGATCTAATGCAGACATACTTTATGAGAATAGCAATGTATTGATTTTGTTCATTGTGAATTATGTGAATAGTTAAAAGCATGAGTGTGCATATATATTAGGTAATTATACACTGGGGTGCTAATGTAAAATTTCAGCAGAATAAATATGAATTATTGCTTCTATCAGTATCCAGCTTGTGTCCCTAAAGCTAGTCATTTGAGATGATAATTGGAATTGAATGTTTGCTTTTTTTGTAAGACATTGTGAAAGCGTTCTTCAGACTCATTTTAAATGTGTATTGATCAATGAAGCTTACAGAAGCTTAGAGAGCTCAAATACAAAACGCAGTGCTGCTCTTCACACTTATATAAACTCTGTTTTTGACATCATATTTACAAGAAACGGTAAACGTTTTATCTAAGGCATAACTTATTGATTAACTTTACCCATTTGTATTTATTCTTACATTTTCCTTCAGTAGTAGTGGGCTAATGTCATGATTTAAATGAAGTATTGATCAGTTTAGGAGGGGAGAATGGAGAGAGAGGGAGCAATTGTGTGGGAAAGAAAGCTAGACCAGGGTTATCGGTGTGGATCGCACACAAGAAAGAGACTGCTAACGGATGAGACACGTTTTAAGCGATTCCGTAAAATGGATTTCTGCATAAACTGCATTTTCAAAGTAGGAACTACAGCCAGGCTCTTCTGTGTACCACCTTACGGGAGGCAAAGATGGATGCTGAAATGACAACAGTGTTTTGAGCACAACAGAAAAGGAATTAATCTTCTTTTTTCTTCTTGTTTCAAGTTGGTTTTATGGAGTAATTCCCAGTTTAGATGCAGATGGTTAGAGAGTTTTTGTCCTGCTAGCTGTCAACGGGTCCATTTTGTGTCCATGACACCGGCAGCATCATGGGGCTCACAAGACAAAGCCACCGTCCAACTAAACTAGGAGCTTGGTCTGTTCGTCTTCTACTTACTATCCTCCCTTCCTTTCACCCAGTCTCTTTGCTCTACCCCTCTCTCACTTTCTATGTCTTTTGCTTGTTCTCATCCCTATCCATTCCTTCCTCTCTTGTGATTTACCTCTGGTGATTTGTATTAATTATGGGCTTGTTTAATATTCAATTTATTTCAAATTATTCCAAAATTGCAAAGATTATTCTATGTTTCCCTTGTTGATTACTATAATAAAAAGCACAGCAGTAGCCTTAACTTTATGAAATATTTTTTTAGTTTTGTTAAAGAGAAAAAAACATCTACATTTGTTGTTTAGGGTTGTTGCTGCTGATGATTGTATCAGAGTATGCATGCATGTATGTATTTATGATGGATGTTTAAGATTTATTGAAGTATTTTTTTCTTAAAAAAATGTGTCTTTATATTCTGCAGATAAATCCTCCAGGGTTGCCTCTGGGGAATATCATATATAATTTCCTTACTTCATACAGGAATTTCTTAGAAAAATTATTGTCCATTATGGTCTCGATATTGAATGAGCAAGTTAGCTGTGCAGAAAGGGTACTCTATATTAGCAACATTGATTCTTCTCCTTTTCTCAGCAGTCTGCCTCCTTTCTGGTCCACCATTTGGACATCATGAAGCAAATTCTTCAATTTTTGCCTGACCAGCTGGAGAGCTGTTTGGATCTTTAAAAGGACCGGCTGTACAACACCTGAGGTTCAGAGCCAAACCAGGCCTGGGAGCTTCTTCATCAGGTACAGTGTTTAGTGCTAAGAACAGATAATATCAGAGAGCCTAATTTTCAGTGCTATCTACATCTGATTGGCTGTTAAGAGAAGGACAGCAGTTTGACCAGAAAACCTTTTTTGACCCGTGATGTCAAATACATATAAAAGGCACTATTAAAAACAATGAGGCTTCAGTCAGTACAATCAGGACAAATATGCTTCTTCTGAATTATATATACAAAATTACAAAGGTTTTCTTATGTTGAAAGTAAAAAAGATGGTTTAGCACCAACCAGATACTTGATAAATCTATAGTGGATGTGTCACCTGTTGCTAAGCCTCTGGGCAGACTGATTCTGGAGTTCAGATGTGTAACAATATTCCAAACTTCACAAATACATTTAAAAGACAATGAGGTTAATAATGAATTTAAAGGCCGTTGTGTTTCTATCTCTGATTAAAAAGGATTTTCAATTCCTCTTTTTTAGGTGTTTATATAAGTGAAATAAATATTAACATGCAGTGACAGTTACTATTTTATCTGTACAGAAGTGAAATATTGCTTTGCATTTTAAAAATCAATTTTTATATAATTCGTCTTTCTGAGTTATTGTTATTTTATATTAATACATACATATTAATATATAAAGTTGGGTATATGTTGGTGTAATATTTTATCTCAGTTACAATTTATTACCAAATAGCAACTCTTGCCTGACTGGTTTTGTCAAAGAATGATGGTTAATAATGAACACTTTCTAGTTTCTGTATTACGTAACCCTTGCTTGTAAAAGGGGCAACCTTTGGTACAACCATTTGTTTTTCAAGAATATTTGTCTGTACCACTATCATTTTGCAGATTTTAATGAAAGCTTTCAGGGGTCACCAAAGGTCAAGCAGTTCCCCCACCTTCTTTGAATCGAACAAAATTGGTCTCAATAAATTTGGCTAAATTTTTGCTGGTTTGTGCAAAACAACATTTTATTGGTGCAGCTTTTATTTTAAAGTTTCGACAAAGGTTCAAAGGTTAAGCAACCATTTATCCACATCAACCAGATCAATAATAAATCAATCTGGTGATTGGTCAATTAGTTTTGCAACAGCAAAACCAATAATTTGGCCAGTTGGTTTTAAAATATCACTTTGAGGATTTTGAAGATTACATTTCTAACGTTTTATCATCAGAGCCACATTACCAAAAACCAGGAGTCTCACAAAACAGATGGAAGGGCATCTTCCAAATGTGGTTCAGAGTCCATTTTCACTTAAACACTTTCCTTCTCTGTATTTGTCATAAAGGATATGCAGTAATTTCACTAGAAGTTCATAGAATCCACCCAATGACTTTTTTTCATCTGCCATTGTTTGACTGATGTGACATACATACACATTTCATTTAGTACAGCTTTCAAACAGTAAAACTACCTTCTTATTAGCTTGCTTTACACAACAGTTAACACATGAAATGATCAACAAAATGACCAAAGATCCAAATTTCTTAGTTTGAAAGTCTTTCCCTAGTCATTTTAGAAAGGTGAGCCATTTCCAAAAATCAGGACACCTTTGCCCACGCTGTGTTTCTGGATGGGTCTGTCCTTGTGTAACCCAGTGTTAAAACTGCTGTGCTGAGGTTTTGCATCAGATGGCATCAGACATGCTTAAGAGCTCACATCTGATGGGTTGTTTCCACTAATAGATTTTTAAGATTTTGTCAAATTTGATGAAGAATCTTGGAAATCGGTTAAAAAATTTTTTTAAAATAGTTTCCTAAAATATATAATTCAAAATAGTAAATATGTTTTATTAAATCTCAGAAAGCTTCCCTTGTGAGTGACTGAATCCGGAAAATTCCCTTTATAGCTTCGTGTAGCAACAGAGCATCGGTCAGTTTTTTTTTCAACCTCCTGTTGTGGTGCACTTTTGGCTGTAGCACCCAGACATCTCAAGATCCTCCTCTTCAAAACTTGGATGGTGAGCCAGCCAGGAGCCTAGAGTTGTGTGACAAGAGTGGAATGACAATTAAAATCTTGCCTGTTAACACATTGGTACAATGGATTTCATTGCAAAATTAAGAATTAAGATACCAAATGCAGTCATTGTTAGCTGTTTAAGTGGATCTAAAAAGGATGATGTTTTTGACTACTTGCGACAATGGGGTACAATAAGTAGGACACTAACAGTCGATAATAGCTCATCTGAGTTTTACCAGAACTGTGTCGTGGAGTTTAGCTCTCATTTAGCTGTTCACGAGATAACACCTGCATTGCCTTACCTGTATCCATCAGCTGATAATCCAGATGTTAAATACTGTATCCGTGCCCCAACAGATGTTTACAGAAAAACCATAGGGGGCCATGTTACTGATACCTACTGTACCTCACTGACCTAAATACCTTATCCAAATTAAGTGGGAAGGATTTTGAAGAAGTCTTAAGGGAAGTGATGTCAAAGTTTGAAGAGTCCATGTGACCTGTTGAGGCAGCTGTCAGCCCTTGTCCAAATATTGACACAGAGCCTACACAAAGTGCTGGTTTCCCTCCACACCACATTGATAACCCCCACTCTCCTAACCTTGTTCAGAACCCTGATCCAAGCCCCTTGAAATTTACCAATGCAAGCCCTGAACCCAACTTACCTTCACACAGCTGCCCTAGTTCACGGCCCAAGCCTTTGTTGCCAACAAGATATTGTTGCCAATTGTGAATATGAGCCAAACCCTGCACTTGTAGAGGCAAAATGTAAAAAATTAAAAGAAAAAAGACAAATATGGGATAGAAAAAACATTGGCCCTGCTTCTTTAAACTTAGGTCTGCCTCTTTTGAGGGACAAACGGAGGCTACCACAGAGTCAAACCGTCCCTTTGAACTCAAGCAAAATATCTGAACTAAAAAAATGTCATTTTAAAGTTGAATACTAAAACTGACAAATTCAAACTGCCTCAAAGCTTAATCGGTACTAAAAGTACAGCCCAAGTAAAGATTAAAGGAATAGTACACCCAAAACATGATTAGCCTTCATTTTCTACTCACCCCCATGCTGAACAACACTCTGGAGTACTTTTTTGATATCTCAAATGCATCTGGAGATCTGGGAGGCTTCTTGCTGTCTGCTGACATTCAAATAATGGAGGTCTATGGTGCCCGAGGCAGAAAGGTCCATAAAAGTCCACAAAAAACGTGTCAATATTCCTCCATACTGCTCGTCCAATGTATTCCAAGTGTCCTGAGTGGGTAGCATCCAGAACTTACTCGAAACGAAGTCATTTAGAATGTTTTTAGAGCATAAACAGTAGTGTATAGGATTTCCTGAAAGCGCGCACCTGCGCGATCACGACGCTACGGAAGCCGGCAGACCAAACCAGCGCATTCAGCTCAGCAAAGAACTCATGCTCTTGCTCAACACTGAAGACCTCATACATTTTTCTTTCATTGTTTCTTTCTTTGCACAGGTAAACAGCACATTTCTTCTTCTACGCTTGCATTATCGGCAGAGCAGACGCTGAATGCGCACTTTCATCTGGTTTGGTCTGCCGGCTTCCGTAGCGTCGTGAACTCGCATGCGCGCGCTTTTAGGAAATCCTATACACTACTGTTTATGCTCTAAAAACATTCTAAATGACTTTGTTTCGAGTAAATTATGGACGCTACCCACCCAGGACACTTGGAATACATTGGACGAGCAGTATGGAGGAATATTGACACGTTTTTTGTGGACTTTTATGGACCTTTCTGCCTCGGGCGCTATGGACCTCCATTATTTGAATGTCAGCAGACAGCAAGAAGCCTTCCAGATCTCCAGATGCATTTGAGATATCAAAAAAGTACTCCAGAGTGTTGTTCAGCATGGGGGTGAGTAGAAAATGAAGGCTAATCATGTTTTGGGTGTACTATTCCTTTAGCGCCAATACTTTAAACAGCTTACTCGATTCTGGCTCCCAGGTTACCATGGTCCCAAAATAATATTATGAACATTTGTACAGTCATGAGAATAATCAATTTTTTGACCTGCTCGAAGTCGAAGGAGGAAATGGCAAATCAGTGCCTTACATTAAAATGAACATATCTTTTCCAAAAGAGTTTCTCGGTATTGAAGCTGATCTGTAGACACTTGCCTTAGTCATGCCAAACATTCAAGCTGCTTCCCAGTCCTTGGTGTTAATTGGAACTAACATCTTAGATCTGATTTTTGAGTTGTATAACAAAGCATGTCCTGGACTGCAGCCTCTCACTTCAGATGGTTATAAGGCAGAGTTAAAAGTGTTGGAGTTAAGGCACAAACAGTAAAAACAGAAGCCTTGGTCTAGCAACCATGTACAGCAAAGGCCCACAACTAGTCCCAGCAGGCCAAACTGTTGTCCTAGAAGGCCCGGTAGCTGTGTGAACTAATAGAGCAGAGAGATCCATGCTGCTAGAGCACGCATCCTTTTCAACCTTACCTGGGGGCGTCCTAGCAAAGCCTCATCAGCTTACCTGAGCAAGAACCCTACCTGATACCAGTTGTTCTCACCAATGAAACTGAACATGATGTGACAATCCCTTAAAAATATGTGATTGGATAAATCCACGCCTTCCAGAAAGTCCTCACTCACGAACATTCAATCCTCTAAGTCTGAGGTTGGTCAAAAACACAATCTGGTTTTTAACTTTGAGTCCTCTCCTATCAACACTGAGTGGAAACATCAGGTTATCCACTGCTGCGTAAGAGCACAAAACCCAAAACTAAGCCTGCCTCCTCTTGTGACCAAGCTTTCAAAGACATCATTAAGAAGCTCACTTCTGCTCCTATCTTGGCATTTGCAGACCCTAATCTGCCTTACTCATTTCACACCGATGCCAGCACAAGAGGGCTTGACGACACCCTTTATCAGGAACAGGAAGGCCAAACAAGATTCATTGCTTATGCAAGCAGGGGGCTGTCCAGGAGGGAAGCTTGGTACCCTGCCCACAAATTAACATTTTTTGGCCCTAAAGTGGGCTGTAACAGCAAAGTTTGCAGACTTTCTTTATGGGAACCAGTTTACTGTCATC